ATGTACAACAAAGAGAGGTTTGTTCTTTTCTTTTATCTTGGTATCAGTCCTGGGGCTTGATCTCAGAGTCTTAGATCTATTCTTGATGTAGCTCAAGGCTGGTGTTTTACCACTTGAACCACAGCTCCACTTCTGACTTTTTTGGTAGTTAATTGGAGATGAGAGTCTCACAGACATTCCTGCTTGGGCTGGCTTGGAATTTAGATATTAGGATCTCAGCCTCCTGAGTAGCTTGAATTAGAGGCATGGGCCACCGGCCCCAGCCATTTCCTTCATTTTTTTTTAACCTGTAGTGAATAGAAGCTGCTTTCTGACTCTTCTCTTTTCAATATGGCGCAATTAGCTAAAGTATAATATGCACATGCAAGGAAGCTCCCTTTTAACAGCTATTATTATTGTTGTTATGATTCTCGTTTTTATTTTCACTTCTTGAGCAAGAGCTAGTTTCAAGTTGAGCTTCAGTTCCCAAGCTATTATCCACAGAATGATAACATAACCACATAGCCAGAAACCACTGGAAACTTTCCCTTCCTTCTTGTTCCCAGACACAAATAAAATAAACAAGAGAAAGTGCTGCATAGTCTAAGAAGACACTTGTATATCCTCCCTTCAGACAATGAACCTCTAGACTTCCTCCCTACCAGCATGGAAACACAGCCCCCAAAACAAGGATCTTCATAACTTTTCAAACACAAGGAAACATTGGCTCAAAGCACTGCCCATGCTTAGCACATGGAGGAAAAAGTCAGAGCTGTTTGCCTGGGAAGGGCAGAATGGGATTTGTCATTGTTTGCTATGACTAGTAGATGCAGTGAGCCACATCAGAACAAGAACTTTGTCATAGTCTCCCCCAGGAGCCCACACCATCCAGTAGGAACTCTGAAGCAGTGTTTCAGAAGACAAAAGTGAAGAACTAGTGGAGTCTTTAACCTATGTTCAGCTAAGGAAGTGGAGTGATAATTACGCTTTCTAAGAACAACGTTCTTAAATCTGTCAACAAATTGGAATTTCAGGAAAAGCAAGTCAGAATAGAATGAGACATAGCTAGAATCTAGTCTACAATGCAACTAATAACTATGCCTACTCGTATCATAATTTACTACCTCTTTGGTCCATAACACAGTAATTTTCTGAAGAATTGCAATATGTTAAATTATGAGAAAAACTGACAGTTTATTGTTCACTTCAAAGCTTAGAATGCTCTTTTTTTCTTCCTTTCATATTATTTTTAAATAATTTCATCATTTCACTGTAAAGCTAATATATTTACAACCAGTTTGGTGATACACACTTATAATCCCAGCACTTAGAAGTTAGAGGTCAATCTGAACTACATAGCAGGACCCTGTTTCAAAACAAACACAAAACCGCTATATTCTCATTTAAAAAGACACAATGCAAAAGATAAATAAAATATATTCATAATCTCCCTATTCAAAAATATTCTCTAGTATACTATGTGGTTCTTTTTAATACTTATACATTTTTCTGTATTTCTCCTCATTGCTCCTTAAGAAATAAAAGCATCAATATGCATCTGTACATCCCCCAAACTCTAACCACTATTAACTAAACTCAGAAAGGTGATATTTTGGTTTCCTGAATTACTCATTCTATAAATTACTAATCAATTGAGTAATGCTCTTCCCACTTTCTGCCCACTCATGGTTGCTCACTCTGGACCCAGAAAAAGCACTTCTTATTTCCCAAAGACTTGTCCTATGTCTTCTGTCAGAAAAGACTTGATAGTCCTTTGTCATCTGTTCTAAAAAAAATCATGAAGTACGAATTATGGAATCTGGAGGAACCTGTACATAGAATGTTAAGCCTGGTTTTAAACAAATTTTAAAGACTCACTGCCCATTTCTCTTTTAGCCTCAGTATCCAACAGATTTGTCCAAGATATCATTTAAGGTGTAGGGGCTCATCCTAGTATCAGAAAAAAAAATCTGAAAAGACCAAGATAACGCCAGGTGTGGTAGTACATACCTTTAATGCCAGTTAGGATACAGAATTCAAAGAATTATAGACTAAGGTCAGTCTGGTCAAACTTTTAGCACAAGACCTTCATATCAAAAACAAACTCAAAGTGAAATGGCTTGGGACTTGCATCAAGTATTAGAGCACCTGCCTAGCAAGGGTAAGGCCCTAAATTCAAAACCCCAGACCTCCCCCCCCCCAAATTTTTTTTTGGCTTTGCAGCTATGATCTTTATCCAATCACTCAGCTCTGCTCATTTCTGTGGCTCCTAAACAGTGTCCACAATCAGATAATTTGGCATGTCTATGTCTCCAGAATATTTTATTTTGAGAACAAATGTGGAAATACAGACTAATGACTTGCCTTCAAAACAGTGTGAAGTATGCAGTGACATTAAGCCATGTCCTTAAAATAGTTGAATTTTTAAAGTTTATACTTTCTATCGATTTTTTACCAAAATTTTACCTACAAGACTTTTTATTTGTTGTTTTTCCTTTTTTGTTGTTTTTTGTTTTGTTTTTTTACTTTTTAAACTCCTGAACTTTCTGCTTCAATTTAACCCTTTCTTCTTATTTAATCTGTTTTGTTTAAATACTCTGGGATAAAATGAATTCCTTGAAACTAAAAAACTTCTAAAGCATGATGCATAGACATTTTCAAAAATAAACTGCTCTTCCACCAAACCCTAAACTGAATATTATGGACTTTTTAAGGTTCTGAAGTTAAAAACAAACTAAAACAATGTAGCTAGTTCTTCTTGTCTCCCAGAGACTTAAAAGTTTGCCAGTCTAAAGCAGGGTATGCCTTAAGTAAATAAATAAGCACAAAAACAACTTACCTATCTTACTAGTCAATATACATTTTTTAGTTATAGATAAAAAGATGTACAATGAGAAAGATATCATTTGAGTACTGACAGATTCGATTTTTCAATAAATTACACATCTGCTTCAAATACCCCTGACACTCACAAAACTATACACTTTTTTTAATATGCCCTAACTTTATTTTTTCTTGTAAGGTTGATGTACAGAGGGGTTATACACTTTAATTTTTATATCCAAATGCTTTTTTGAAAAGCTGAATTAATACTTAATGGAATGTGAGATTATACATTACATACTTAAATTAATTTTAGATCTACCCTCATACATGTTCAGGCTGAACAGAATTGCTCTTCCCCAAGTCCATGTGGAGGAATTTTGGGTGTTTCCTTTTCCTTCTCAGTTTCAGCTAGAACCATAAGAAGTCAACGGGATTCTTTTTTGGCAAGGACAGCCTTTGTGTTCCCATGTTATGATTAGCTTATTATTCATCTAGTCCCTTGCTATTCAACTTTGTCTTTAGCCTGTGAGCTTTCCTTTCAGCTTCCAACAAAGGATTTCATTGCTGCAAGAACTGAGGTGTGTCTAAGTTTTTACCTGACAGATGGAGTGATGCAAGTGTTTCTGGTAAGACCAATCCTTGGTTTAGGGTGGGGAGGAACCGCCCAACAGGCCACCCATAGATTCCTCTGGTACACAGCGGCAGCCGTTCTTCAGGAAGGACATTTTAGACATCACATGCAGACGCCCAGGAGAAGAGCTTCAGGTTGCCTGGATTTGTTCTCCTGGGGAAACCAAAGAAAATGACTTGGCTCTTCCCCAGAACCACAGGGGCTCTGGTCATCCTAATCGTAAGTCTTGTCTTTTTCTACTAAGCACAAACTTCCCCTGTTTCTTTCCTTGTTAGAAAAGATTAGAGCTGGTTGTGGGATCCCTGTTAGAAATTTCAAAAGGAGTATAGCAGAAGTAGATATGAAACCAAGTTGAAAGGATTTCCAGGTTTCTCTTTCTATTATTTCTCTTTTCTTGTTGTTGTTTAATTTTTTTATTATATATCAGTAGTTGTACAAAGCGGTTTCAGTTCAATATATCAGCTTATGAGTACAATGCGTCCTGATCAGTGTCACCCTTCGGGAATTCTCCACTATCCCTTCTTAATGTCATAATTCTCAGAGAAAAGCAAACCAGAAAGAAATTGATTCTAAAGTAACCATTTTATATTTCTTTAGTTAACAAATTAAGTAATGTTAATCTCGAATTCTCTTCCTCACAACCCCTTCATTTTCTTCAAAGCAATGCTGTTATTCATTTTTTAACACACAAGCTAAAACACTTAAGGAAGAGCTACTTATATTTTCCAAGATTACATGTTTCTTGTTAAGCTTATAGCTAACACCTCTGCATGCCTAGTCTTGATACCTGACATGTTTTAAGACACTCAGCCTGCTGAAGTAAGATCAAAGCAATTGTGACTCTAGAAAAGTCCAAGAGGTGCATTAAGAAAATACTTTTATGTGTATCATGTGCAAATTATAGCCAAGCTTTGAGGCAAATGTGTAGGGAAGAAGAAAGCACAAAACGTTATAAGCCATGTCTTAAAAGAGTTAATTCTTCTGTCAATTAGGATAGTTTTACAGAAATAGATCTAAAAGTAGAATCTGAAGAGCAAAGCGTGATCCTGGTTGTCACAAACTACCTTAACTTAAACACATTATTAAGGAAATATATGTCACAATGTTATCTATTTTATATGAAGATAATCAGCCTATCAAACGACATAACTGAAGTTTCTGAACACTAAGGTAATGATAGGCTTCTTTAGAATTTTCCAACCTTGCTTCAACAGTCAGTGCTTAAATATGATGTGATTCCTTCTTTCTGAGACTTGTGTCTATCAGGGCGGTGTAACTGTTTTGCTTATCAAGTGGATTTACTTGACCCAAGGATATTACAAAGAGAAATGTGACAGCCCCATTGCTGTTCGTAACTTTCCAGAAGAGGAAGTTCTGAACTGAACTACAGGCAGCTAACCCACACGTATACCAGTGACCAAACTCAGGAAGTTGGGGGTCATGCAGCCAAGAGTTTAAGAATCATTTGTTATACAGACTTAGAATTTGGCCATCATGACTGAAGGGGACTTTGAGACCATTCTCAGTTGCCACTTTTTACTTCTCATTATATTTCTGCTAGACAATGCCGGTCACAGCAATTAATGTTAATGAATTGAAGCCTGTATTAGTCAGGAGTGAGGTAGGTAAATAAGGCTCTGTGGATTTAGTGAGATTAGAGATCTGATAAGTAGAGATGGGCAGAAGAAGAGGTCTTTGGTTGTCAGACCAACACAAGCAAAGACAGATATAATTATGGTGTTTGCTTAGGGACAATGAACCCACTGGTCAAACTGGAATGAAGGTTTGCATTGGAGAATTCAAACATGAAAAGGAAAGGTGATGAGGAGGTGAAACCTAAAAGTCTGTTCTGTGTTCTGTAAAAACCAATGAAATCTTTTCAGAAATGGAGAGCCTCCCAGACCCGAGTCGTTTTGAAATGACATGGTTTTGGGGGACAGGGGGAATCAATGTTCTCAGGAGCATTAATGAGAATGCATATCTTTTCTTAAAGGAAAGGTATTGAAAGCCACACGATGTGTCTGAAGGTTTTGAAATAATTCCATCATCCAATGACCCATACAAGGGTTGCTCAGTAAAATAAGATGTCATAGAAAAGTCATAGACTTAAATCTATAACTGCAGCATTGACTCACTCAAGGCCTAGTGGCCACAACTCTCAAGAAAGAATAATTGTCCTCCAGCCTTTACTTCCTTAAATTGTCCATTGTGAGAATGAAGCATCAATACATGTAAAAAACTTTTTTTTAGAAATATAAAGTACTTTGTAACACCCTGATACTTATCATATATAATATGTCAATGATGTGATGATGTTTTATGTCCATCCTAGGGATTAAAATCAAGGTTAGGCACTGTCCTTGAATCATTGCTCTATTCCTTGGCTTTTTTGGTGTTCAATTGGAGTCTCTCCTACCCAGTCTGTTTTTGAACCATGGGATCTCAGCCTCCTGGATAGCTTGGATTACAAGCATAAATGACTGGTGCATGGCTTGATTCTTGGTTACTTCTCAATATCATGTCTTGCTCTTTTATAACCACCAACATCAGATTTTAATAAATCAAGAAATGAGCTATGCTTTTCTTGAGGCAGAGTATGTCAAAAAATAATAATGAACTACTTTTAAATGAATGTAATGGTGAATGTAGGAAAATAATAGGTTTGCAGACTGGGAGCTTTTCTCAGAATTTCAGCAGTTGAAGTTTCTAGATAGTTATTTGAAAAAAGGGAATAGGGAACACCTGTCAGTTACATTTTCACACCAATGAAAGAAGAATTTTTAGGAAAAGGTGTATGGCTAAAAAAATCTTAAAACATTTAACCTTTTCAAAATAATCTGTCTTCAAAGAAAATCATTCTTCAATATTTTACAGTTAACAAAACCCAAAACTCATCATGTCATGTAACAACTCCTAGAAGCCTTTGAACAGTGAGCCATGTAATTTCATACTATTATCTTATATGAAACTATACTCATTATAAAATATATAGGGATGTTTAGAACTCATATTTTTAACGTAATTTTTAAGTTGGGGGTAATAGAAGGGGGAAAGGAAGTTTAAATATCTAGTTGTGAGCAGATCATGTTCTAAATATAGCAGAACTGTTTTCATTTGCCTTTTCTTTTTTGGTTAGTAATTTACAGATGGTGGAAAATACTTTCTTTTTTTTTTAATCTTTTTGAAATTTTTTATTGTGAAAATACCGTACAGAGGAGTTACAATTACATGGGCAAGATAACGAGTTCATTTCTTATCAAGCATTGTAGCCTCCTCTTTGTTTCCCCTTCTCATCCCTACCCGTACTCCCCCAATCTCCCCCCATCTGATCCTCCCCCCCACCAAAGTTGTAAAGTTCATTTTTTGACATAATGACTTGTACATCTCATTGTTGCAATGGGTCCACCTGTATTCCTATTTAAACAATTTGTTTTTCCCTTCCCCTCAACAAATTATACCAACACAAATACAGTGAAAGCAGGGGTTATACCGTGGGGGAGGGACATACAAAGCAACATAGAAATCATCATATAAATATGTTAGAAACAATTGCATGAAAGAAAAAAAACATTTGAATACTTCATTTGACTTTTTATAGAACATCCCAAGGCAAAATTTTCAGGAAAGAGTTATAAGCTAAATGGTCCATTTTAAGAAAAGGAACATCTCTGAGGTATCTTCTCTTACCAATGAGACAATTATTTCCAGTGCTAATAAATGCACAAAGATAAATATGCTACAGAACATCTGTAAAAACTAAGATGCTAAAGTCAGGATAACCTGCCAAGGGGGCCCTGCCCAGCCTTGCCTGACTTGGGCAGCAGAGAGGGAAGATATAATTACTTCTACCAATTAGTACTCCTACTTGCTTTATACCTGAAACCGGTTCTCATCTGTAGCTAGAACACTCCGTCAGTGTTCTTGAGTTTTCTCATAAACCTCTTAGTCTCTGGTCCTTCTTTTCCACTAAAGAATCAATTGGATAGCTTGAGGTGAGGGCTAGCCTTTGAGAAGTTTATCACACAGCAATTACATAGCCAATTGCTTGCTCTATGGCAAAGAATTGAATCTAGTAGACTCATTTTGTCCTTACAGGACTACTGTGCAGCTGGTCAGGCTGTGCATTGCACAATTCTAATAGGTATATTCACACTGCCCCCTGCAGTTGTGCAAGGAACTGCCTATGCATTTGCACAGTGAAGGGAGGAAGCACTGTTTCTTTCCTCAAGACAGAAAATGCTCTGATGTGACAGTGATGAGCAATAAGAAGCCATTTCATATTTATCAGTGGCTCTTTTATACCACATTCTTCTGTCATTTTTGCTTGATGATAGAAATGACTTTTTAAATTTCATTTTATCTTTTCTGAATTTAAAACCGTTGTTTAAGGTGTCCATATAAGTATCCAGGGCTTCCTGTTCAGTCACCTCTTCCATCATTTCTTCCCATCTGGTCCTTCCCCAGACTCATTTCAATTTTCCACTTCCTTGATCACATATATACATTCCATATTCCTGCTATGTTTGCCCTTGTTCCAATTTTATTCATCTATCCCCTTCCATTATCCAACAAACAATATTGTTTCAGCTTCCTGAAACTCATTTTGTTAAACTGTCTGTGAATTGTCTGAAGTGGTTTCTTGCCAAAAATGCAAAGCTGGCTTAATAAACATAAATGAAAATATGTGCTACAGCACATTGATGGAATAAGGGACACGAATCCCATGATCATCCCAATCATCCCAAAAGATACAGCAAAAGCCTTTCATGAAATCTAACTTTCTTTTTTTAAAATCTAACATTCTTTTATGTTAAAAGCTCTTGAGAAACTAGGAACACAAAAGTGATATCTCAACATAATAAAGGCTATATATGAGAAACCTACAGCCAATATCATACTAAATGGTAAAAAACAAAAAAACAAAAAAAAAAAACGGAAGCCATTTCCTCTAAAACCAGGAATAAGCTAAGGATGTCCATCTCCCATACTCCTATTCAATATAGTACCAGAAAGCCTAGACGGAACAATAAAGCAAAAGAAAGTAGATAAAGATATAAAATGGACCCAAATTGAGAAGTCAAATTATTACTGCTTGCAGATGACATGATTTTATATCTGCAGGACTCTAAAATAATTAATTATATGTATTAAGCAGTTACTAAGGCCAAGGCTCATCTATAATGTTTTAAACCTGCTCATTTGTTTAGTCAAAACTCTTGGTAGGGAATATATTGAGCAGAATAATTTAGTATTTGTTCTCCAGTCATGTGTGATGGACTGTCCAGTGTGGTATTACCAGGTTTGACTAAATCCAACACAGCATTTAAAGAAAACTCTTGTGGATAAACAAGGGCATATTCTTAGCATCTCTAACTAAGCACCATATTAATAGAGTATATGCTACAAATTAGTTATGAAAAATTGTATTTCCTCAAATTAAATAATAATTTCTAAGTAATCAAATAAAAAATTTGGTCATTTAAAGACTTTGCCTTGATGAATTCAAAATTTACCCTAATGTTTGATGGCTCTTGAGAATTCAGTACAGATTGGTCCTGATTTATGATGTTTTGACTTATGCATTTTTCTTACCTTACACTGGTGAAAAAGCATATTCACACCACCATTCTGTTTTTCACTTCCAGTGAAGAGCTCAGAAAATTGCATGAGGTTGCCATTCTTTATTATGAAACAGATTTGTGTTAAATTAGTTCCCCAACTGTAGGCTGATGTAAATACTCTAAATTCTGTAAGCAAAGCTATATCAGGAGGTTAGATATATTAAGTGCATATTCAACTTAACAGTAGTTTCAGTTTTGTTTTTTTGCATGCAAGGCAAGCACTCTACCACTGAGCCACCTTCCCAGCCCTTCTGTTCATTCATTTTTTTTAGTTGTGAAAATATTGTACAGAGGGGCTACAATTACATGGGCAAGATAATGAGTACATTTCTTAACAAGCATTGTTGCCTCCTCCTTTGTTTTCCCTTCCCATCCCTTCCCATACCCTCCCACCAAAGTTGTAAAGTTCATTTTTCTACATAACGACTTGTACATTTCATTGTTGCAATGGGTCCATGTATATCCCTATTTAAACGATTGTTTTTTCCCTTCCCCTCCACAAATTATACCAGCATCAAATACAATGAAAGCAGGGGTTACACCTTGGGGGAGGGACATACAAAGCAACAAAGAAATCATCTTATAAATGTGTTAGAAACAATCCCATGAAAGAAAAAACATTTGAATACTTATCTTGGGGTTCATTTCACCTAATATCAACTTATCTGACCTTTTCTGCTTGTTTCAGACATATACTAGTTATTGCAAATAAAGGGTAATGATGGGACCTTTATTTCTTTGGGCCTGGCTTAATATAATTTTTTCCAAGTCTTTCCATTTCCTAATAAATAGGGCAATGTCATTCTTTCTGATGGAAGTATAGAATTTCATTGTGTATATATACCACATTTTCTTGATCCATTCATCTACTGAGGGGCATCTGGGTTGGTTCTATATCTTAGCTATGGTAAATAATGCTGCAATAAACATAGTTGTGCTGGTAGCTTTAGTGTGGTCTTGTTTGTGATCATTTGGGTAATGCCCAAAAGTGGGATTGCTG